ATATACTTTCTACTAAGTTTTCTACTAATTTTCTACTTGACACTCTTGTTCTTTGTAAGAATAGATTTTATCTTTCAAAATCTATTAGATATTGAAATCTATTTGGATAACTTCGTTATGTCTTCCAGTTATCTTTCAAGTGCTCCTAATTCTGAGCTATTCGATCCTTTCGTTCTTCGCCTCCTCATGAATTGTCTTTGAATTATATGGAAAAGGTGGAAGGTTTTTTAAATGGACACAAGAAGTTCATCAGGATTTTATTGAATAGTGGAAAACTACTCAATGGTTCAATGACCAGACCAATGACTCAACTAATTTAATAAAGAAGATTCATTGGGATTCAACTACTCGTAAATCGACATATTGGACTAAATACAATCAGGCTGCGAATAAGGGAACCGGAGAGCCAGTTTTAATATGTCGTCAATGTAATGGAGAACTGAATCACCCTGGGATTAAGAATACTAGTACCAATGCATTATCTAAACATCTTCAAAGGATGCATGTCGAAAAGCAGCTCTTCGAAATGGACGTTAAAGAGGATTAGATGAATATCTTGTTGTAAGAGTAGGTAGTAAACGATTAATAGAAATATTATAGAAAGCTAATTTCTTTTTCAGATGGGTTTACCAAAACAACTTACAGAAAAAGTATTTCATGATCAACTTCTATGAACAATTATTTCTTTACGAGTACCTTTCGAGCTATTGAGGATAAAGAATAGCAAACAGCTTGCTTAAATGCAAAATCCTGGATTCCCTTTTCCCTCTGCATATTATACTTCGAAAACGATTGATAACCCAAGTCGAAAATCTTGAAAAGAATATATTGCTTTCGAGAATGGTGAAAGGAAGTAAGGTTGCTCTATCCTTAGATACTTGGTCTAATACAAACAGATTATCTTTTCTTAGAATTTTGGTTCATTATATCTCCAAAGATTGGGAATTAATTGAAAAGCTCATTAGATTCGAAAGCTTAATAGATATTCATTCAGGATAAGCTTTAACTAAAGTTGTAAAAGATATTACCGATAAATTCGATATTACTAATCAGATTATTTTGATTACTACTAATAATATATCTAATAATTCCAAGATAATGAAAGAAATCAATCAATACTTCGAGGAGACATTTAATAGAGATCGATTTCTGAATAAACGCATTCAGCATATACCTTGTTTAGCATATATTATTCAATTTACTTTAAAAGCACTTCTTGAATCAATTTGTTTAACTCCAACTAACGAAATATTATTCGAGATTGAAATAATGATGCAGAAACAAGCAATCTAAAAAGAATTTGTCTACTGGAAAATAATATTTACTCCTTTTATTCTCGTTAAGGTAAGTGATTCGATTTCTCTATTAATCTTTCTATTAATCCTTATCTAGATTCGAAAACTAGCTATACTCTCGAATTCTAGTACACAACGACGATTGAGGTTTCTGAATATTCAACAAGAACTTATTAGGAATAATCAGACAAAGTTGAGAAGGCCAATTAATCTTTTGATAGATATTTCAACTCGATGGGATTCGATTTGTCATATATTGATACGTAACAGCACGTCTTCGAAACGCAATCGATAAATACTGCCAGGATTATTCTGATGCGAGAATATTTCTTTATCAGAAGCAGAATGGAAGCAAATTGGATATCTTATTGATCTTGTTTCGTCCATTCAATTTCTATACTACACATGTAGGCAGGACAAAAGGAACTACTTTGCCATATGCATTAGGTATTTACGATAATTATATAAGCATTTGGCTGAAAGTCATCATCGTTTGACTAAAAAAAAGAAGAAAATATCCATGGGTTGAAAAAACTAATAAAAACTATTAATAAAGCAAAGAGAAAATTAGATAAATATTATAATAATATATATAATGATCTTGATAGTATTTATGTAATAGGAGTTTTACTATATCTAGCTTCGAAGACAACTGCTTTCAATTCAAATTCTTATTGATTGAATTATCAAAATCGAAATTGGCAAGCTGAATTCGAAGTACAATTTCATCGACTTTGGAAAACCGAATATCAACAATATACACCATCTAGAATTACTAAACTTTAAGCTTTACAAAATTCAAATAAGGATAATCTAGTAATTGTTTTGGAATAATTTTGTTGGAATGCTTCTGGATAATATAGATCTCAAGAAATTGCTGTAGATAAAGTAGATTCTTGGTTATACTCTTGTAAGTCTTTCTATTAATCTTTCTATTAATTATATCTCTAATATTCTATTAGCCTTTTCTGATATAGCTATTCTCTCTTATTAAAAAGCAAAAGAATATAATTATCCAGGTTTAGCTAGAATAACTAGGGATTTCCTCTGTATTCCAATAGCAGGAGTTGGTATAAAAACGAATATTCAGTTATGCTAGGGATTTATATTCATATCGATGTGAACAACTTACTTCAGAAACTATTCATAATAGTATTTTCCTTTTTCATCACCAACAGAAATCACAAAAGGAGACTCCAAATAGAAATAGAGGCTATTATATATCCCGGGATATTATACAAATTGCTGAAAAATCTATAGCTTTAACTGAAGAGGAAATTGAAGCCGAAATTGCGAATTTACAAGATAAGATTAATCTTAAGATTAAATAACTTGATGATTGGGATCAAAAGAATTATATTAGTGACGAAGAATCGGATATGAATGCTATACATACAGCACGAGAGGAGTTTCGAAGATGTCGTCAACTATGAAGAAATATACTATTAATCAGAACATCACAATATCTTTCTCAAAATGATTACGAAGTTGAGCAAGATATATTAATCAATAAATAAAAATTGAAAAACGAAGACCCAGCAATTTATAACGATTTACAGATTACTGCAGAAGATCAAGCTATACAACCCGATTTACCAAGCTATAATTCGAAAAGACAACGAATTGAAGATAATGAGATTATAATTGATAGATCCAATAGAGAAAGAAGTCAAAGAAGGTTTCATAATATACTTAATAGACATAGATAGTTACCCGAATTGAGAATTGAAGAAGATTCTATTAATCTTTCTATTAATCTTGAACAATATACTTTATAACCCTAATTACTATCTATTACCCACTAAATTACTCATTACCCATTAAATTACCCATTACCCATTGGGTTTACCCATGGTATTTTGGGTTACCCATGGTATTTTGGGTTACCCATGGTATTTTGGTTACCCATGGTATTTTGGGTTACCCATGGGTAATGGGATGGGTTTTTTAGAAATCCTACCCACCCATTGGGTACCCAATGAGGTGTATTACCCACCCATTGGGACCATTACCCAGTGGGTGGGGTCCCACCCACTGGGTTTTCTACGCAGACTAACAGGAACAGCGCGATATAGAAGGAAGTGAGTAGTTTTCATCACAATAACAAACATGAGGCCGACACTAACTAATAAGACACAAAGGAAGATGAAGACTCTCAAAACTCTTCACAAAACAACGACAATCCTGAAAATCCTGAAAATCAAAATCTGGATGTCGATATTTACAAACCTATCGATGAAGTTACTAGTGTGAATTCTAGTACCATTTCGTATTCTACTTCTTCTATTGATGGAGCGCTTTAGAGGAGGAAGATGAGATGCAACTTGGTATGGCGGCGCTGGCTACGGGGGTTATGATTACTGCGCTGTGGATGATTGAGAGGAAGACGGCAGTTTGTTAGGGACTGGTTATTTGATTTCAGTTTGCGTTCTTTTTAGTAGATATTTCTGTCTTTGTTTGCGGGGCATTCGTACTTGGGAGCGATTGACTGTTTGATTGATGTAGTGCAACCAACATAGAAATTCTAGTAATGTTCTCAATGATTTTTAGAATATAAACTATAAAATCTTACGAGAAACAATAACATATAATTATGTCTAAGTAAATAAATGAAATCTTATCTTCAATTATGAATATTAAAACCGTGACCGAAACAAACGAGATAATTTTCGGCTAGAAAATAATTACGCGATCCTTTTTTTCACTTCTCAAGCTCACCTCGAAGTGCTTATTAAATCTCATTTTTTGTACAGAAAATATATTTCAGTCACCCCAGTAACGATTTATGCTGCAATACTACTCATCTGGAAATCAAGCGCAGTGTGAGAGCACTTCAAAAATCCCCAATCTCATACACAAATGAAATAAGTACACTAGCGTTATTAAGCTCGCTGGTGCCGACTCGACATTATCCCAAAAGAAGAACATATATATCTACATTTTCGTAATTGAATGATCATTGTAACATACCAAAATCGTAGCAAATAAGAATGTCCTGAAACCACACCCTTTTTTACAACGTCTCATTTCCATGACTTAGGACACCATTGAGATTGACGAATCCACGTTTGATTCCCACTCTTTGGAAGAATTGGATTTCTAGCATCTCTATTGAGTAATAGTAGCCATAAATCTTCAGTACAGCACAATTCATATTTTCCACCCATAGATTTCCATCAAAACAATCCAGAACATGCTGTATAAATTATCAACCGTACGAAAAGCAATCCGTACGGCCCGATCTTGTCTCTCTGCTCATCATACTCGCCAATCCAAAATATCATCATCAGAATATACTCCATACCAACTGTAGAGACTGTATCAATAATACTAGCGTTTTCTAAACACTTGCTTGCTGTATGAAGACCTTCTGAGATGTTTAAATACCTGCATCTTGACGGAGAGAATCGGTCTTTCTTTTTATCTATATGATACTTTCATAAAACTATTTTGATACTTTTATACTTTAATAACCTCAAAAACTCCAATAACTTCAGCAACTTCAGCAGCCTCAACAGTCTCAAAAACTCACAAACAACAATTTCTTCACAAAAATCAACATCTTCTCAATACCTACACCTCGATTCCCACCACAATTTCACACCCCATCACAAGACTTTTATTCCTAAGTGTAACTCTACACTTATTCGTCTTCTTCCACTCAAAACTTCCAAAATCACTCCATCCAACTCCTAAACTCTAAAAATGTCATCACCAAGCTCCACCACCCCCCTGAAAAACATCAGTACAAACATCCCCCTCCAATCTCCAAGACGATTTCGCACAAACCAAAGAAGATTTCGACGTCTCTTCTATCCCAGACTCCGATTCCGAAGATGAAGATACGATTTATGATCAAACTCCGGAAAAAGAAAAGGAGGTTGACGGATCTGCAGATGATGAGATTGTTTATGATACTTCTATTTTTGCGGATGAGATGGGAGATCAGGGACGAGATGATGCGGGTTTGAAGGATAATACGATAGTTCAGTCTGTGATCTTGAGTAGATTCTCGACTCCGACTACTGATCTTTTAGGAGTTGGCGGTAAGGAATTTGGCGAGGAGTCTATGACTACCTCTCATCAAAAATCAGAAGAGCTCGCGAGAATCCGAGCAGTGATTACTCGAAGCCGGATTCCTGATACTCATCAGATAATCCCAAACTCTACATCTGCACTCGCAATAGCACCAATTCCTCTAGAAGTTCAAAACTCCACAACTCATCTCCCACCCGGCACGCCTCTTATCCGGGATTTTGCAGTTGCTGCATTGCCCTACATAATCAACCCTCACAATCCTTACACCCTCTCAACCCTGCAAGTCCTACGCGGGACGAATGTTCTGAAATATCGAACTCTACAATCATCTACATATCCCTCAACTGGTATCCGCACTATGTATCATTATCACGGGGTTCTTTTTCGCCATGCAGTGAATGATATGCACGCACCTTCTGATAAGAAAGAAAAGGAAGAAAAAGAATTGGGGCGTGAATTATCTGCGGGAGAAGAAGCGGATGATGAGGAATATATGTATATATCTACACCCGCACCTGTAATTCCACGTGCTCCTGTTTTAGGGAATCGAAATGTGGAGGATTTGGTGGAGATTGAGGAGATAGAGGAGATTGAGGAATCAAAGAACGAGGGAATTTTCCAAATCATTCCCAAAAATCTCAAAAAATCACGACAACCAAAGGAGAAGAATCTCGAAGACTCAAGAACCAATGTCTCAAATGCCCCCACCATAATTTCTCCCCTCACAATCCACAAACAACATCCACAACCCTACCAACCCCCCCGCATCAACGCCTGGCCCCTCATCGCTCTCACCTATCACATCCCCATCTTCCCAACACACATGCTCACCTCCTCCTCTCTTACCCAACTCTCCCTCTGTGAAAAATTCCTCCAGCAGCAAAACGGATACTCAGATTCCCCACTCGATCAATGGGCCCTAACCCAACATCGACTATTTCTCTGGATCAATTCCGGCGCGTTAGAAAATGGTATTGAGGGGGAGATGCGACGAGTAGGGAGTGCGGATGTGTTGCTTGGGGAGGAGAGTAGCGAGATGTGGGATTATGAGGATGTGGAGGTGTTTGCGAGATGGGAGGGGGATACTTTTAGGAGGTGTTTGGAGTGGGTGCAGGATGTGGAGGGGGATGGGGAGAGGGAGGGAAAAGGATGGGGAGGCGTGGGTTTGGAGAATGAGGTGTATGATTTTTGTGGGGAGGAGGAGATTTTGCATCGGTCGGCGAGTATAGCTAGTAATAAAGAGAAGAAGCAAGAGGGCTCATCATCATCTTCATACATCTCGGAAGAATACGATGCCGAAGACGAGCGAGGCGAAACCAGATCTGCACAGCCTTCATTTCCTCTCCCAAAACAAATTGAAAACGAAGATTACGATCCTCGACTTGGCAGAGTGGTGAATATATTCCGCACGCGAGCTCTCTGCCGTTAGGAATCGCTTCTCAGGATTCCCCTTTTCGCCAACCGATTAATCATACCGCGTTTCGGGAAACGGGGATTCAGGCTGCAGATTATGCGCGTGCGAATGCGATGGCGAGGTTTGAGAGGGTGGCGGAGGATTTTGCGAGGAGGGAGGGAGGAGCGGGGGAGCGAGAGGATTCTGTGGGACAGGCTGAGCAAGCGGGATTGAGTGAGAATAGAGATTCGAGATTTGATAGCGCGGAGGTGCATATGAGAGGTGGTGCGGGATCTGGAGATTCGGGGAAGGAATCGATTAATGAATCTTTTCCTACTGGATCCAAGTCTCAGAATCCACTTTCTCCCAGTGCTAGCGATTTTAAAGCAAGCCCCTCACTTCTTTATCCGCATCTCTAAGCCCAAATCGATAACACCAAAAACCTCATTCTCGCCCCACCCCTCCCTCTTCCACGCTACTAAAACCCTCAACCAAAAATTACAAATTCATTCCACCACACCCAAACTTCTCATTCACGCCATAATCAGCTTCCCAAATCTCATCAGCAATCTTCTTCCAGTCCTTACATCATCATCTCTCCCTCCAACCTCCCCCACACCCACCCACCCCCTCATCTCACCCCCTCACCTCACCTCCTCACCTCACCTCCTCACCTCACCTCCTCATCTCACCCCCTCATCTCACCCCCCGCAAAATCCCCACCCTCTCCACAAACTCTTCACAAACTCTTCACGCGCTCTACTCCGCACCAAATAAACATATCAGCACCCCACTGCGCGCCGAAAAAACAAAAACAAATAAAAACCCAAACCCAAACCCAAATACAAAAACAAAAACAAAAACAAACAAATACAAAAACAAAAACAAAAACAAACCAACAAAAAAACAAGCCGAGCTTGAAAAACGATGTATCAATAAAAATTAAATTGACAACTACTCGAGTTATTGAGGTTAGAAGAGCAGAGGTTGAAGAATAAGCGGAGGAGTTGGGGGTATGAGAGGAAGATGTATGGTAATGAATGATAAGAATAGTAGAATAGTAAGAATAACTACCTAGCTATGCTGGAGAAGAGAGGAGGAAAGAAGTGAGATAGATAGATGGATGGATGGATGGATGGATGGATGGATGGATGGATGAATGGATGGATGGATGAGGTAGTATTGTAATAAAATTATGAATCTATAATTTCGTGTTTTCATATATACATAGATACATACATACATACATACATACATACTGAAATATTTTCCGGATATTAGGTTTGCAATCTTAACTAAGTATTTATTTAAAAAAAGAAAAAAAAGAAATCTAAATGAAAATTGATTCATTGATTGATTAATCTATAAATCAGAGTTAATGATGATGCATTTGGAATACTAGGTGGTTATAGCGAGAAAGTGAGTTATGTTGTTGTATTATGAGTGATTGAGCTAGCTAGTAGCTAGGTATTTGCTATTCTATTTTTTTGGTTTTCGCTATGATGGGTACCTATTGCTAAGTACCTAGGTAGGTACCTACGTACTGGAATAATTGACACATCGTAACTAACGACTTCAAATATCCATAATTCTTGAAAGACTGGAATTGAGATGGAGGAGGTATCTTCGATATAAGAAGAGATTGACGTAAAAAAGAGATTGTCGTAAAAAAGAGATACGTTGAACGGAATACCTAATTCTAAGATACGATATTTATATTTCACTCTAACCCAAGGCTCAAGAACCAGAACTCCCATCTCCAATTTTCAAAACTCACAACTTCACAACTTATGCTTCCCCTAAGATCCTTCCGCCTAAGAAACAGACTTCTTCACAGCCCCTTTTCCCTTTGACTTATCTGTACTGGAACTACTACCCGTTCTATTCAGACGTTTCTTTTCTCCACTAGAAGCACTGCTATTTCCATTTCTCTTGAGCTCTTCTTCTTTCTTGTTCTCTTTCGCCCAGTGAGCAGCTACATTCTTTCTTATATTCTCTTTTAGCAGCTTCCGTCTCTCTTGTTCTTGTTCTTCTAAATCAGCTTCGATTTTAGCTTTTATACCTTCAAACGTTTTATACAGTTCTGTAAGTTGGGTTCTCTTGGCTTCATTCTCAGCCTTGGCGGCTGCTTTTGCTTTTGGGGTATTGGTTTTATTTTTCAGTTCGGCGACGGCGTCGAGTCGGGTACTGTGGTGGAAGAGTTAGTGTTGGTTTTGTGATGGGGATGGGGACGGCTAGCATGTTAAAACAGTGTGTATGAATAGGGTAAGTTTACCGTCTCTTTTGAGATGGATCTGGACCACTGCCTTGACCACTGCCTTGACTAGGCATGATAATTTATTAAGAATAGATGATTAGGTTGTAGAAGTTTAGTTTGATCAAGTGAGGAAGTGAGTAGGTGGTGTGGTGAGATGTAATGTCTTCCTCTTGTGTGGAAGTAATGAATCTTAAATACATTTCCGTGGCCTCACCAACTTTTGCATCGGATGAAGAAATTTCTTCAACATGTTATCATGCATTTTTCTGGGCGCGAGCGAGAGGAAAAAAGTGGCAGTGGACATGTAGATTATTTGGCTGCGATTGAACAGGTCGACCTTGCGAAATCACCTAGGCCGCAGAACGAATATCGACCAACGAAAAATACATAGCAGTCTGAATCAGAAGTGCACATCAATAGTTCTTATCAGAAGTCATAGGAAATAATAAGCAAACTTTGTCTTCAGATACTTTTCTCATCTTCACATTCAAGAGGTCAAGCTCCGGCCTGCAGATTTGACCTCCGACTTTGAATCTTTCGCCGAATGAGATATATCTTCAATCCAGCTGAATCTATTGATGAAAAGAAAACCAATACAGATTATTTGTCTGATTCTATATTGACAGGAATGCTTTTGGGGAAGAAATATATCTAGGTAATGATATGGTAGAAAATTCGTGATTTTGCATAGCTTTGCAATTGATGATTTGATATATGAGATGGCTATCATGGTTATACGGTGACGCTCAGAAGGTAGATCTTAGAGCTTTATACCAAGATAATGATCTCAGAGGAAGGAATTAAATGTCATTCACTTGAAGATTGAAGATGATGATGAAGATTGAAGACCAAGATTGAAGTTTCATCATCAGAGAAAGATGTTCTATATAGCAATAGAACTGTAAGAAGAGTAGATTGATACATCTCTTTGACCCCAACTATCAAACCGCTTTGAATTGAGACAAATCTAGAATAAACTCACTTGAGTTCTGTGAATAAAGTAAATCAGAAAAGAAATAGAAAAAAGACTCTTTACATAAGAACAAACAACAACATTCATCATACATGCAGAGCTACAGATTGATTCACAATTACTAATCTCTGGTTGGTTGGTTGGGCACAGACTCCATTTTTGGTAGAGAGAGACACGAGAGGCATTGATGGTGGATTGATGGTGGGGTGGGTGCTGGTGGTGAATCTGTATCTGTTTGCTATTCACATTCAATTAATTTCAACCTCTACAAACAAAACCTCTCACCATCTTTTTCTTCTAAATCCTTCATACTTTCTTTCTCTCTAGATTCTTCCTGAATTTACATTTGATACATCTCCTCTTCGAATCTGTACACTCTCTTACAACCATTCCATTACACAACAGTTTTGCATATTCGGAGAATATCAAGACACACACAATCATTCCAATCAATCGCGGGGTACGGAAACAAGAAACATGTCGTCCATCACCCACGAAGCAAGTAACCAGGCTGGTAAGTCGCACTACTTCTTTTGGATTCCCATCTCCAGATCGAAATACCATATGTCTGCATGACATTTGTGATACATTCTAACGCAAAGCTAATAGAGCCTTCGATTCTTGAAGCTGCCGCTGCACAACAATCATGGTCCGTGGAGAAAGTAGTCAAGGAAGAATTCCCCGTCGTGCCAAAAGAGAATTCGGAATCACCAGTACCATTCTTTCACATGCTGGAGAGATTGAAGACGACCAAGCGTGAAGGATGGCGTAGATTTGGTATCGAGAGGTGAGTTGCCCAAATCAACTACTGGGTTGGATCAAGCTAATAATCTTTTCACAGAGGAGAATCGATTTCCGATCACATGTATCGCATGTCACTCATTACCATGTTCGCACCCAAATCTCTCTCTTCCAAGATCGACATTGCACACTGTACGAAGATGGCTCTCATTCACGATATGGCAGAAGCTCTGGTTGGAGATATCACACCCGTTGATAACGTACCAAAAACCGAGAAGAATCGTCGCGAAGCTACCACGATGGATTATTTTACCAAGAATCTCCTCGGTCGTGTGAATGGTGGATTGACTGGAGAGGAAATCAAGAAAATCTGGCAAGAGTATGAGGATTCGGAGACGTTGGAGAGTAAATTTGTTCATGATGTCGACAAGGTAGAGTTGATTCTGCAAATGGTGGAATATGAACGTGCGGATAAGAATGGATTGGATTTGGCGGAATTCTCATGGGTTGCCACGAAGATTGTTCTTCCAGAAGTGAAAGCTTGGGCTGATGAAATTTTGGCGGAGAGAGAGGAATTCTGGGCGGGTAGAGAACATAAAGTGTTTGGTGAGCTTCAAAAACCGGATGAGAAGAGAGTGGCTCAACATGATCAATATTATGGAGGAAAGGAGAATAAGGCTGCGGAAGTTTAGACGTAATGCGACGGGTGGATATGGAAAGGATGAATGGCGTTGGGAAGTGGTAGAGATGATGCCTCTTTTGATTGTAATGGATAGTTAGATACCAGATACCAGATACCCGATGCCCGACACAGATATCAGCATCGATAATAGCTTACTTGAGTAGCAGATTGGGAATTCCCCAGATTTAATAGCGAGTCTGCAGTATTATTTGAGTGTGGACTATGATTTGTGTTTGAGTTGAAATTGATATACTTGAACCAGTTGATGAATATTCTACGAGTATGAGTATTCTGATTGAAACAGTACCATGGAAAAGGATGATGAAACTTACCAATTCGATATCTACCTATGTAGGTATGTATATATATATGTATCGAGTGATTATACATATATACGAATTATACATCTAAAATACATTTACCTAACTTGAATTACCTACCTACTCAAGTACTTAATATATATATATATATATATATATGTACATACATACCTAGTACATATATACACATATTATACCCCTCTTGATCCTTCCCGTTTCATATTCTATCTACTAGACATTCTATCTACCTATCGTAACAAGACATGTAAAAGTATCTATCAAGCATCATCTCATGAGTTTCATTGTATTATATTAGTAAGCTTTATATCAGCAAGCTTTGTATTAACAAGTTTCTCATGGATAGATGGGGATTTAACGGTGAAATCTATGGATGGATGTGATGGATGAATGAATGAATGAATGAACGAATGAAAAAGCGTGATTTGTCAATATTGAATGATTACCTAATGAGTACTAAAAGTATCTCATCCATGAAAGAATTATTCACCACGGCAACCATGGTTAGCTGTATGTAGGGTAGATACTAGGTAGGTCTTGAGACATTGTTTATACTGTTTGGAGATAGGTAGGTACGGTGGGAGGTACAGTAGTAACTGTACCTAGGTAGATTGAGGATAAATAAAATCCTTAGTCCGTGACTTATTATGTATGTAGGGTTTGGAAGCTACAGCTGGGAGTAGGTACTGGTAGATTAACTTAGGATAGAGTCAAGAGTTAATAAGAGTTAAGAGTTGAGAGTTGAGAGTCAAGAGTCAAGAGTCAAGATTCGATAGGATTGGATTGGATTCACCGCCATCTTTCTATTGACAGAAAAAAATTAAATACTGGGGATTTTACGAGTATTCTATCGGGGTTCTTTTCTCTTTCATTTATGTGTTTTTGACTTGCTTTTCTTGAATTCTTTTTTGTAAGAAGAAGAAGAAGAAGAAGAAGCTTAAGAAGAATAGAAAGCAAAGAAGAAAAGAAGAAAAGAAATACAGCCCAGAAATACCGCCAGCCCAAAGGACAAGTTTACATCTTCCACGCATTCGGATCCATCTTCTCCATCTTCTCCATTTAATTTCATCTCATTCTGGTCTTTGCTCTTTCGCCGCTGGATAGAGGACATACAAAGTACATGCAAAGTACATGCAAAGTACCTACTTCCAATCCACAATACGGAGTCCAGGAACGTTGCGTCTCCATTCATGTACATACATGTGTTGTGGTGTGGTTGATCCTTTGATTCTTTGAAACCTGGACGTGAAAGATTTTTTCGTTTGGATATCTGGGAGTCTTAAGTCTTATCACGAGGTTTGGATTTCACTGGTATTCTGCGGTACGAACCTTGGTCACAGAGGTGCTGATTGGAATTCAGAATTCAGAATTGATTGAGAAGTATTGATTGATATTGATCTTGATGTTGATCTGGATTGATACGACTTGATACGGATTGACACAAATTGATACGAATTAATACTCATTTTATTTAATACTAATCACACAACCCGATAACAATCTCATCACCAATACTAATACCACCGATTGCGATTACGAATTACGAATTGCCATATTTCCTACGCCTCGTTAACACAAAACAAATCTCTCAGCCTCGGGAAGATATCGACAAAAGATACCTAGATAGATCATCATCATCATCATCATCTGTCCCCGTACAAGCCTTGGAAGCTGTATGATCCATTGGATTTAACAACCTGAAATCTTTTGGGTATTCCACTTCAACTCCCAACATTTTCATCCATCACATTTATTTCAACAGATCCAGAAAATGTCTTATTTCTTACACTCCCTTCCAGTCGCGGAAAATATGCCGGGTACGTTTGGTCTCGATTCTCCATCGCCTCAACATGACGTACCAATTGCAGGTTCCAAATCAAATATTTATCTTCCGCCATCAACGCCATCAGCGTCTGCCACTTCGTCTCTCTATCTCTTCGATACACAATCGACCACCAGTACCGATTTGTTAAATGCCGGAGGCACCATGGTCGGAAGAAAGAGAATGAGAGATACGTTACCATTTGAATATGGGTACGAACGAGGAAATCAATTGGATGAGGGCGATTCCAATTTGGTGACGCCAGGAAGTCCCATGCCTTTTGTTAATACCAAATATCGATTGGCAGGAGGGTTGGATACTCCGCAGGCGGAGAGACAAAATCGAGAAATGGGAATGGGAAGAGAGAGTGATTTTGGTGATACCAAATATCGAAGGGAATTAAGTGATGTCAAGGAAACTTTCGAAGCCGAGGGAGAAGGTCAATTGTATCGAGATGAAAATGGAAGACCGAGAATCCGAGGACAACCAAAGGAAGATGAGAAACGTGGATGGATTAAACCTATGGTTAATGTGGTGGGTGGTGTGGTGGGAAAGATGTGGGAATTTTGTAAGATGGGTGTCGCATTTAAAGGATTCCAAGCTGGTGGTGGAAATGGCTATGTTTTTGGATCGATCACTCCCATGGAACCGACATTTATGGATGAACCGAAGAATGACATGTGGGAGGATGAAAAATCTCCTGGTACACCGGTCCCGGGTGGATTTCCGATGGGTGGGATGGTTGAGAATTATATGGATCGAAATTATGTTCCACCACAGGAAGAGACAACTCCTCCGAGACCAGCAAAGAGACGTCAAACGAGTTTTACGGCTCAATCAACTCCAGATGATATGTCAAGAAATTGGGTGGTTGTTCCTCCTCCACAAGTAATACAACAACCTCAACCCGAATATCAACATACATCTCACCCTGAATATCAACACTCTCAACACTCACCTCAACCCGAATATCAACACACACCTCAACTCGAATATCAACTTAATCAACAATATCCAAAATTACCACCAGTGCCTGCAGATGCATTTGCCATTCCACAATCTCAAGCACCTAAATCTAGATTGTCACAACAGAGAAGTGGAATTGCTCGATATAATATACCTACCACATCAAATTCGACTAGGAGACATTTGGTTCAACCTCAAATCACATCAAGTAATATGGGTGCGACCCGAAGACCAAATTATCAAAGTAATCCTCGAATTTTGCATCCTTCACCTACGCTATCACATTATGAACGTGGCACCAATTATTCCACTCCCACTCGACCAAGTTTTTCTCAAATCCCACGTACAGCTTCACCAGCCGGATCACGCATTCCTCGTTGGACACCGAATAGTCCAAAAACAGGGCCAAATTCGAATGAAAGTCCAGCAGCAAGAGAAGCGAAAGCATGGAAGGCGAAACAATTGAAAGAGGAGAGGGAACAGGATGAGATGATGAGGAAGTTTGATAGACAAATGAAGGAATTGATTAGACAGGGGAATATGGCGTTGGGAACGAAGGTGGAGGATATGGAGGTTGATGATGAGGATGTTTATTAGGGTGGGATGGGTGTGAGGGGGTGGAGATGGTAATTTAGGGTGGTGGGGGGTTTGCATATATGTTGCGAGTGGAGAAAATGGAGATGGGAATATATGGGAAGGAGGGGGCATGCATGTGTTTGCGTGGAGAATGAGATTTGCACATACAGATGAAATTGAGAGATGAAAGGCGTTGGGAATTGATGTTGAGCTGGTTCGATCTGGTCTGATCTAATCTGATCTAGACAAATGATCATGGCATTCGCATATTACGAATAGCACAGATTGCTTGTTTGTTTGTTGGCTTGCTCACTTACTTGCTTGCTTATCTCATCCTTTCTAATTCTTTGTTTATATGGAGTTGGATGAATACATTATTCATCAATCATGGTCAGAATTGGGATTAGGATTTGGTAAACGGCGTTTGTTTCTAGCTTGCTTTACTTTACTTTGGCTGGATTATCTGGTTTAGTTTGGGTTAGTTTGGATTAAGTGCGTGTTTGCTTGGAGCGAATTTAACGATGAGATGATTTTATTTTATTTGACTTGGTTTGGTTTGATGAGGAGATGAGGATGGGGTGGGGGGTGAGAAGGGGATTGTAGAGATGGGGGGTGTTTTGACTTGTTTTCTTTTGCTTCTTTGAGAGATGGGGATTGGGAGATACCATAGTTGTTGCTTTTTTCTTTCTGAGAGGATCGAAGACGAATGGAATGGAATGGAATGGGGAAAGGTGATGGGGAAAGGTGAAAGGCAGAGGGGGAGAAAGAATGATATGGAGAAGAATGATATAGGTAAGATACGATGGGATTGATTTGATTTCGATGGGTTGGATTGGGTTGGGATGGATTGAGTTAGGGATAGGTTGGGAAAATTAGGATAATGAATAAATAAATAAACATTAAAATCATAATCGAAATAGAATGAAATGAGATGATATACGAGTAGAGTTGAAGAGTGAAATAAATAAAGATCTCTACAGAAAAACTTGGCTATACCGGACTAGGATATACCGGAATCTTAGATATACCGAAATCTTGGATATATCGGAACAATTTCCTGATTTGACCACTTTTCATATAGAAATACCGGATTTTTAAGCAAAACCGGTATACCGGACACTTTTTTCACAAATCCGATATAAATTTTGATAATAGATTTGACTGAATAAGCTGAATTTTAAATGAGTAAGCTTGATGAACTATCATCACATAATATTTTTTAAAAATATTGGGGTTTGGAGCTGAAATTGGATATAAATTTTGATTAGGGAGCTTAGATCATCATTTTTTATACCAGAATTATGAATCTATTGGATTTGATTGGTCGAAAATTTCAGTCCGGTATAACCAAGTTCTTCTGTATCGTCTGTTCGCCTAGTATATCTCACGATCTACAATCTGCGATATGCGATAAAGTATTGAATCTCGTTACGAATTGTCCCAAAAGACTCCATACCATACCATACCATACATCTATCCATCACGTCTTTTACATCATACATTAATCAACTCCATCCATATCTACATCGATCAGAACTCTATTCATTTGATCCAAACACACACACATCCATCCATCCCTTCCATTCCATTCCTTTCCCAAAGACCATCCATCCATCTGCCGAGCCAAGCCCCTCCATTCATCCACCCCTCCACTTATTAAGCATAAACCCGTCCACACCACGCTAAACCCCTTTCGCCCGTATTCGTTCGTATCAAAGACTGCGGAAACCCTACGCGCCAAGACTGTACTGGCGTAGGTACCTAGCCTAGCCTCATATCACGCATGTGTATCCTCGCCTCGGCGTTCCATTCTTCATTTAATCCGAGCAAGCGTCAGTCAACCGATAGCCAACCAAATCAAATCAAATCGACTAATTTTTTGGGTTTTGGGAAAGAAGAGAAAGGATTCCCCAATAAGAAGAGGAAACAGAGGAAAGGAAATGCGGTATCGAATCCAACCCCATCATTCATTCCCCTTTGAGTCGTATATCCGTCGTAAAATTGCGCGTTCAGTAGTTGAGTAGCTCGGTCGTGGGGGTGTGGAGGCTGTGTTGTGTGTCTTTTATGTACCTACATATATATGTATATGCTTTCTCGTCGATTGTATTTCCTGTTTGTTTGTTTGTTTGTCTGTCTGGATATGGATGGAGTATTCATTTCTATCTAAATTCTGAATTTATATGTTTGCTTTTACTCTATTTTGATACTTGACTTTAATTTGGGATCTTGAGCAATACTATACTAAACTACAAGTGCACAGACGCTCAGTTGTACTCACTGTGTATTGTATATTGTATATATAACAAAACAGCACTTCCTTTTCCATCTCCCTCTCCTGCGACCCGCCTCTTCGATCCTTTTCTTCAAGAAATATAATATACAAAAAGGCGCCGTCTTCCTTCCAACGACCGAAAGCAAAAATGTCCTCCTCCTCGGCCCCGACAGACAGTCCAGTCTTCAAACTTTACCGCTACACGCCGAATTTAGGAGCGGCCGTGGTTTTTCTGATCGCCTTCGCAGCTACGACGTTGTATCACATATACCAGATGATCCGGGCCCGATCATGGTACTTTACTCCTCTTGTGATTGGCGGTATTTGTATGTTTATTTTCTATTTTCTATTTTATTCATCTCATCTCCATCTCGTCCCCACTCCCGCTCATACAATGCGCAAACAGTCGAAGTCGTCGGATACATCTTTCGAATTCTGGCGCATTCCAACCAACAATCCATTCCCATCTACAGCATCACCACGATTCTAATTCTGCTCGCACCGGCGCTCTTCGCCGCCTCGATATACATGGTTCTCGGACGATTGGTCGTCGCACTCGACGCAGAAGATATGTCGCCTATCCGCAAGAAGTGGATGACCAAGGTTTTTGTCACTGGAGATGTCATTGCATTTTTGAGTCAAGCGGCCGGTATGTTGTCTTGTGTGCTCGGGTCCACCTTCCCTCGTATGTTGATATTGAGGAATACATATACTGATCTGGAGGTGATTTGATACAGGTGGAGGAATTATGGCTAGCGGAACGGCTAGCGCTCTGACGACTGGAGAGTATATTACGATAGCGGGTCTGGCCATCCAACTTGCCTTCTTCAGCGTCTTCATCCTCACCGCGACTATTTTCCATCGTCGATTCCAAAGAACCACAAATACCGCGCCGATGAGAATGTCCGTTAAAAACATGATGAATAACAAGAACTGGGAGGCTCTGCTGTACGTTTTGTATATTACGAGCGCACTGATCCTGGTCCGTTCGGCTTTTCGCTTGATCGAGTATGCTGGTGGAAATGACGGGTATCTGCTTTCGCATGAGGTTTTCGCCTACATCTTCGACGCAACTTTGATGTTTTTTGTAATGGTGATACTCAACATTTTCCACCCATCCGATGTCATGGGAGACAAAGCGACCTTGCATGGAAGTACGGGCATGTATTTGCGTAACCGGGGTTCAGAAGTTTGAAGTCTGAAGAGGAATAGCTAGATATCCTGGCAGATTGATGAATTGTAGCTTGTTGGCGTCAATGATGTATTCTTTAATATAGATGCGAAGCAAAGATTTAGAGCGAAATTGAATATTGCTGTAACTACAGTAAACCCCGGTTATACTGATATTGAATATACGGATAGAATTGTGCCAATGTACCTTTATGTATTACTATAAACCAATAAACTTTTTCTCGATATTGATATAATCTTGATGATAAAAATAATTAATGAAATCTGAAAGGCTTTTATCACCTAACCAATTTAATAGAAAAGAAAAAATCCGGGACTACCAGACTGAATCATTCACATATAAGACTGGATTAGCCACATATATACCTAGATATATCAATAAACTTGATATATCGATATTTGTCGATCGAATTTTTCGAATCAGTATAACCAGGTTCTATTGTATAATGTCCAAAAAATTATCTTGGAGAAAGCTGACCCCGTATGGCCATTTGAACTTTGACCCTTGCTTAAAGGCTGGACTTTGGAGTTTGTCCGAGGTTGCACAGATTATCAACATCAAATAGCCTCACCGACGCTTTTGGGAAGGCAAGTAGATCAGCGTACGAATCGCCCAGGATGTATGCGCTTGTCTCGACCAGATGCTTTCCCCACCCCCGGAAGAACCAGAACGAGTCGAGCCGACGCAATAAAACTCCAAAATAAGCAAGAATAAGGACGGCGAGCGGGTTTCGTTGATTCAGAAGAATTAGATAGTCTTTGGGGACTGCAGCAGGCCACATGAGTCCAGCTGTGATTGGCGATGTTGAGCCTCTGTCTACCGTTATCTTCCTGATCATCTCGAATGAATAAAAAAGCTGTTGAACGGCATCTTGGCAAACCTTAGATGTTTTCGTGCATGTTTCGGCCTCGCATCGAGTAAGAAGATCGGATAGAGCACGCAGCTCCGTAATGACGTCGCCACCAATGTCGGGGTATAAATTTGTAGGCGGACCACTCCGAATAGCAGCGTAGAGTCCATCACAGTAGATGTTTTCCTCCCACAGACTATGCAAGCCAACCATGCCCCTGACCAAGTTGGCGCAAGCCAAGAACTCATCAATGCCGCGATCGCCCTTATTTGACTCGAGTAAGTTCCCATCTGCGCGAATAAAGCAGAATCCACACATGGCCAGAAAAGCTGAGAACAAGAAGGCGGCGCGTTGACTTTCTGGCGAAATGTCGCCGGTGTTTATGAGACGCCGGTACTCTACTAGTGCCGCATTTTGGTGGTGGGCAGCCTCGGCCACCATAATTTGAGGGTTATCGCAGCCATCAAGGGCAATATGTAAAGCAGATAGAGAAAGAATCCCGCGAAGAAGGAAGCCGTTTCGCGTGGCTAACTGTACGACGTATGTCTGCCATACTTTCTGCTGTGGAATAATAGTGCTGAGAGAGTCATAAACATTGACCGTGTAGTGGTGAAGAAGTCTGAGGGCTTCAATGTTATATGCTTGTGGCATGTGAAATGGTGATAAGGGGGCACCAGGTGATGATACGATGGCTTGGGAATGAGTACCAGATATCTGCTGTGAACTCTCTCTCGTGGAGGTGGAAGGTGGTGGATTTTGCTTCCACAGATACGTGCAGGTTATCCAGCGATCTTGACAGTTCCCACATTTGGGATGACGTTCATCACACTTATTGATCGTGTTAGATATGGATGTTGTGGCGGACTGCGCTGCGTGGCTCATGATTACATACCTTGAGGTGCTTCAGTTTGCAGGCGGTGCATCCCTTCCGCGACTTCTTATGAGGCCGTCTAGTGGCCATAAGAGCAAAGAAACAGAATGAACATGGAATTCAATTACTAATTACAATAGTTGCATCAAATAAGCTAGAAAATCGAGTATTGGACGAAGAGTGACAAAGTGTGTGGGGGTAGATGTATGAACGTTAACGGCGTAGGCATTGTAAAACAGCCTAATGTTACGGGAGCTGCCTCTAGGGTCATGTGGAAATGTTTAGAGATCTTTTGAGGTAGTTTAGATTAGATTTCAAGTAGGAATTCAATAAGATTATAATTGATTGTAATTCTTGTAACTATAGTAATGAAACTAATAATTGTTTTTAAGTATAAAGCTTTATATTGTAATGAAATCTATTCCCTATATAGATTTTCGTATTGAAATCGAATCGACAAATCGAATTGGCAAGTCGAATCGGCTTTGTAGTTATATAACACTTGTTTTGTAATTCCTATTACCCTAACTTGTTCTTTTGTTCTGGGACTAATCCTTTGGAATATTATTAATATAATTTTACAAAAAGTTTGCAAAGTTATATTTAGTGCTCTCTAAACCTATTATCCTAGAAACTGTATTCTAGGTTTCTAGGTTATCCTATAACTAATACTATATATATGCCTAAGGCTTTCCTTAAGTATCTAATGTCCCCTGGTGTATTGCAGTTGAATTACTAAAACCTATAACAATCTGGCCTCAGGCCTAGATTAGTCATACATTTGCCCCACCCGGCAGGTCTAATCTCGCTTTGCTTTTGGTCCCCTCCTAGTCCCCTTCTAGTTCCCTCCTAACCTATAAAAACCTCTTACAGGTTTATTCTTTATATAATAATTTGTTATTCTCTAATATCAATAATTAATTCAATTCACTATTATACCTTGAATCTATTATCGTTATATTATAACAAACTCTTAATATCTCTAAAAAGAATAGATATCTTCTAAAAAGGTTATAATATCTAACTAATTATATTCACTCCAAGTCCCTAAATTAATAATCTATTTTAATCTTTATTACCTTATTATTACCAACTTACAATATCTTTCCGTTATATATCAATATACTAATAATCTAAAGAAAGCCAAAATCCAAATCAGTAATTTTATTAAAAACAGAAAGTTGAAATCGGAAGTGTATTGTATAAAAATAATAAAGAAATGAAATCCTATTAATCCGATCCTTTTCTTTCTATCACGGTGCAAGGGATAGGTACTAGATTGGATATATGATATTCTATAAAGAGGTTGAAAGTGGTACGATGTAAACTTTGTCATATAATAGCAAAGATAACTAAGCATCCATTACGCTAATATATTACGCTAGTGAACTTATAAACAGTACCCCTCTCTTTAAGATTTGCTTGTTCTAAGTAAACTAAAAGAAAATATACTATACAAATCATACTTTCTTTTATTGTAATGAATGCTTTCACTCTCTAAATTCTTTTGCAGTTTTTTGTTTAGGGATCAAAATTGCTTTAGTCTTCGGGTTTTCTAGTATTCATTTCGATGGATTTTGTGACACTTTGCCTTAGAAGAACTGCAAGAGCAGGGTACAATTTATCCTTAGAATCTATAATTACAGAATTGGAAGCAAAGTGCTTATAGAACACTCCTATATATTAGTTATGTATATATAATCATGTATATACACAAATATACATATTTATTTATTTATTTATTTATAGTGATTAACATCTATTATCTGACCTCTCAAGGGGTATTCTAGATGTACTAAGAAGCGGGCCTATAGGCTACTAGTGTTCCAGCTGTTTATAGTAATGTAATGTTAGCTAATCAGGGGCTTATTGCTTTTAGTATTCCTTTGCTCAGTATTGCTTATGGCGATCCTGTGGCTATTTTGTTTAAGGGTTTGTGATTCTGTTTTAGAAAGCCTGTTTTGTATATTATTTGAGTATCAGTAGATAATCAGATCAATCACTATTGATCGGGAAAGCGCTCGAAGCGCTTATAACTGTTCGATGTGGGTTTTAGGTTAATTAAAGTGGAGAGCTTATTCTTAGAATATTGGAGCAGGTTGGAATTCGTGTAGTTTTGTGTAGTTTGAGTATATTCTAGTATAGAATCTGGATTTAGTGAGAAGATTAATAAAGCTATATTGTGTTTGCAGGATATAATTGATATATATTATTATATTCTATTTGGATTGAAATCGATTTAATATAAGTAGTTAGTTATTGTATATTCGATTATTAATTGAATATTAAAAGAAATATAATAGGCTTTTTTTAATTCTATATATATAGATATTTGTATTATTTTTATAATTGGAATTTGATATAATAAGCTGTAAAGTTATTATATCTGGTTTGTATTGCTATAAGTCTGTATAATACCTTGCAAAAAAGCTTAAGGCTTTTCAACTTCGAGATATTATATATTGATTTCTATATATTATATATTTCAAAGATTAGACCCCTTTTTTCCTTCTATTATCTACTCTCGGAACATTGATATTTAGCATATAGGATAAAGTGAGAGCTGCTGATTGTAGGGAGGCAGGATGGGCCAGGGTCAAGCAGTCTAGCTGTACTCTGATCAGCAAGATGATTAACTATTTTGTTACTCTCAATCTTAATATACCCAGAGGATCATTTGATTATAATATTATAATATTGTATCGCTTAATAGTATTTGTAATATACCCATTAAAAGAAGACAGCAATGCTTCCTTATATTTCCTAGATTATTGAAGTGCTATCAATATATAATCATATTTGTTCTTGATAAGAGTAATTAATAATATTCAAAAAGTATTTTAGTCCCCGCTATACATTAATTATCTCAGTGTTAAAAACATATGACTATTTGTATATATGGTTATAGCTAATATCAATCTGTTGTTTGCTGCGGTAAATTATAAAGCTGTATTTTATATAGTAATTGTATTTGTTGTATTATTCAGATTTATTTGAAAATACAGAGTAATCTTCTTGGGGGATTAAGTTCTATTATTTTTTGAATATTTTTATAATATCCTTTTTGTTTATACTATTTGTTAAATCAATGTGGTATTCGGAAGAGAAATAAGGTTGTAAAAGTCTGAGGTGTTTGGTGGTAGGGATTGTTTGTTCTATTCTTTATAATTTTGTATTAAAACCTTTCAGAATATCTATACCTTATTCTCTTTTTCTAATGTATAGCTTTAATTAATTTATAAGTAGGTATTGTATATTCATTATTTAAAATTGAAATACAAACCTCAATCTGGTTTACTTTAATGTAATAATTCTAATTGGGAGATTAGTTTTTATAAGAAGTACGGTTGTTGAGGTTATTTTGTAAATAGATAAAGCTCCTTATATTGTATTATGAATTATTTTGCTAACTAGATCGATATATTTTTTAATTCTAATGCCGATCGGAATATGATCTGTATTTAAGTATTATTTGTATAGTTTATTGAATTATATTTTAAAGCTAAAGAGAGTAATAGGGAGTATATAGATAATAATCGTTTTTTATAAGCAGGTTGTAAATAATCTGTAAGTTATATAAACTATTGATTGGATATAGAATGCAATATATATAGCTTTTGTGGTATGCATTTTGATATATTATAGAAATATTAAATATCAATCAAAAAAGATGCTAAGCTAGTATAAGATTGATTATATTCTGTTGATAAGCTTTAAAAAGATTGGCATGATAATTAGATCCCGATTTATTTTTATAGCCGGATTTGCAATTTTATGTTTTCTTGATATATAAAGTAATTCAAACTTTTCTGGAGTAAAAAAGATTTTATTCTGATTTTTCTATTATAGGATACATTGAATGATTTAGTGGAGTATATATATATTTATAAATAAATTTTTAAATGTATAATATATAGCTATATTATTAGTATATTCGAAACGCTATACTCTATCTTGATTAAAAAGCTTAGTAAGATAAAGGATATACAGGATAAAGGAGAGTGACAATTCCTAAAAGGTATTATATACAATCAGGAAATCCTATATTGTAATCCCCTCAAGCTTTATATGTATATATCTTTTAGTTAGGAATAAATCAATAAATTATAAAAGTGCTATAAACTAATTCTGTTTCTTTATATATTGTAAAAGCTATCTTTTAAGGAGTATATTATAGGTGTCTTGTATATTTATTATTACTAGTATAACCACTTTACTAACTGCTAAAGTACACTCAGTATTATAAATAAAGATAGCTATGAGATCAATACTGGCTCTTTTCAGTAACACTCTGCAATACTAAGGGCTGATAATATTGTATCTTATAGCCGTCTATACAATTTGACTAGCAATATACCTTTCTAATCCTTTTCCAATACACAATATCAATATAATCAGCCTTCACAATCTTAGAGATATCCTATCCTTCTTACCAACCTTAAATAGTATAACTACTTTAACGAGTTTCTATTTATTAGGATAATAACTAAGCCTAAGACAAACTGTGAAAATCTTATATATTATACTTTTTGTACTAAGCCAATATATCTTGAGGAAACAAACAATTATCCAATCGACTTTGGGTAATATACTCCTGACTTTTATTATATATTTTTCCATTTCCTTTGTAATAATCGTTTTTTTCCATGGTAAGATTGTCTAGCAGCCCTGTTCCTATAGAGGGTCATGCTATAGATCGTCCGATGCTTTAACAGAAATGAATTATATTATAACTATTTTCTAGAATATATTATAATACAAAGTAGGTTTGCTATACCTACAGATACTTTCCCGGCTTACTTGTAATAAAACTATTAATACTAGATTTCTATAGAATCTTCTAATTATATTAAACCATTTATTATATAATTACCTTTGAAAGTTCTGATTAGAATCAAAATCATTTCTTTATATCTCCATTCCTATTTACTTCTTAAGCTTATCTAATATCTCCATTATGCTCTTTACCCTATAGTATCCAATTATAAACCGATATATACATCCATCCTCTCAAGTCATATAGATAATATCGCTATTGCTATCATTATATATTACATCTTGTAGCTAATAACCATTTCGTATTATCTTACCAGATCTCTTCTATATAACAAGACCGACTATATCTTGCAGGCTTGTTATTTCAGACCCCTAACTAAATAGCTCTTTTATAATGTTTTCA